TCTTGGTCGTCCTGGCCCTCTTGATAGGCCACGCCATCAGGTGTCATTCATTCTTCGGTGGGCCTAGGACCTCGCAGCTTAATGCTACTGAGGGGTACGAAGGCGATGTGCTCATATTCTGAAACGAAAACTGCGTCTGCAAAATGATTCCTACATCTTGAGTCAAGCCCATAAGCCACAACCACCTCAACCCCCAACCCTCAATCCCCAAACCTGGAGACGCTGAAGCCCTAGACTAAAGACTCTCGACTAGACCCTAACCCCCTGCACCCTGAGCTCTACTCCTAACCCTAGACAACTCCCTAAACAACAAGCCCTGTACGCACATGAAGGTTTCCAAAAATCAGGGGTCCCTTCTGGGGCGGCCTTAATGATGGAGAGTACCACATGTGCTCGCAGGAACTGCCCGAAGTGCCAGCTGCCAGGGCTGTGCGCGGCTGGCCAGTACTTGAGTGGTAGTTGAAACCCAGCGAGCCCAACCCTGGGGTTTGGGTTTAGGCTTTTAGGGTTTAGGGTTCAGGGCTTCGGGCTCCTTAGGGAAGCTTCATGTGATGCTAGGATCCCAGTTATGATTTGAAGCATCTGCCCTTAATTGACAGGTTCTGAGCCCCGGAGGAAATTAGGACGGATCTTCAGGGTTACCCTAAGTGCCCAAGCACCCCTCAATACTATACTTGCCCCAGATTTGCACTGCAATTATTATTCTTATTACCATAATCTCAAGTTCCCAAGTATTGAGTACGTACTTAGGAGTAGGTTCTTTGACAGTGAGCGATGGCGCACATCTACGGGCAAAATTCGCATGGCCAGCACATTGTTCTCTTTAGTCGTACTGGTGGTTAGTAGGGAATAGCAGTTTGTTTAGGGGTTATCTCGGGATTATATTCCCTTATTCCCCCAGCAAGTAGTATAGAACATCAGTATTTCTGAGACCTCCGATACACGTGATGGTGGCGTTTGCTTTTTGATTTGCTGCAAGGTCGTGAGCCCAGCCAGGCCCGCCTTAGAGAGCCCCTCACAGTGCAAGGCGTAGGTGAGGGTGTGCGGCGGGCATCATGGTCCATCGAAATGCCGCTCTGCGCTTGCTGCACGATCGATGGGCAGACGGTGGCATCACACACTTTCAATGTTCCCATTGTTCCAGGCCCGAGTGCCGACCTTCCGGCGCTCCTTGGTCTGAAGTCTTTACGGGCCGAAAGCGCTATCCTGACACTCTCCGACCGGGACGAAAAACTCAAGCTGATCGTTCCAGGCAATGTATGGACATTTCCGGAGCAGTGGAGTATCCCCTTGCTGTTGCCCCGTCCGGACACCTGCTTCTCATCTGTGATGCCTACAGCATGTCTTTATCGGGGCTATGTGTGGATTCTAAACATACTGCAGAGACGAAGTACCTTCATGTAAGTTCTTAGTATCAACATTTGTACCAACATTGAGACATCAAGTCTGTGTTCAGCTTGTTTCTTCGGATCCCGAATGAGGTAATTACCCTAAACCGTAAATCCTGAACCCTAAACCTTCAAATCCACTGTTGTCCTGCATGGTCCTGACCATTAATTCCAAAAGCTCCATAAGACCTGAACCCTACACCTTAATCCTAAGGGCCCAAGGACCCAAAGCTTAGGGATTGGGGTTTAGGGTTTAGGGGTCCAAGGACCCAAATAATAGGGTTTTGGGGCCCAAATACTATGATATTAATGGTATGTGGGCTCTAAAACCTATTATTTGGGTCCTTGGACCCTTGGGGTAAACAAAAGCCTGCATATCCAGCCGTGCACTAAGACTCTACAAGATAATTACCTTCCATAAATAGTAGGACCCCCATATGGATCTCAAGAGATTAAAGTCCTTGTTATGGAGACTCCTAAAATGGTACTACTAATTTTTAAAAATAGCCCCGAAGTTGGGTTAGAGCCCCCGGGATATCAGCGTTCAGATCTTCCGCTGAGGCGGTAATATCGGCTAGATGGTGGTATCTATAACAACCAGCAAGTACGCATGGGATGGTCCGGGTTTATGGTTTGGGGTTTCCATTCTTATGTCCATTTGGGCCCGCAAAACATTGAATGGAGGAACCCCACGTGGCTGTGGCCGCCAACACACTCCGACCTCTCCAAAGCGCAAAGCTTATCCCAAACCCTACTAGAAAGCTATCTGGGAGTTTCCTCAAATCAGGGGTACCACTTTGGGGGTCCCTATAATCAAGGATTTTCGCGTATTGGCTTCTATAGCGGGGCACCCCTATTTATGGAAACTACCGTGTCTTTCCAATATGAACTTCCGGACCCGACTTTATTCCCTAAACCCTAAACCCTAAACCCTATTTGGCCCGGACATGAACTTCTGTAGACCCTGAACACCTTAGGGTTTAGGGTTTAGGGTTATTCGGAATGATGCACGCTTTCGGGCTTCGGACTCCACAATTCTTGCAGTACGAGAGGTACTTGGGGTCATGCCGGGCTCTTTGTTTAAAACCCGATAGGGGCTACGGGGCTACATCGCAAGTCTAGAGTTTTAAGCCCTAAATCCTAAACCCTAAACTCCTGAACCCCTAAACCTAAGCCCTGCACCCTATAACCCCTAACTCCGAATACCTAAATTCTAGCCAGGCTCCACCCGGCATGCTCACTGCTCCTAGCAAGGCTGGTCCTGGGTTTTGGGTGTTGGGTTGGGGGTTAGGGGGTAGGGTTTGGGGTGTAGGGTTTTGGGTGTAACGTTTTGGGTTGAGGGTTTTGGGCGTAGGGTTTGGGGTGTAGGGTTTTGGGTGTAGGGTTTTGGGTTTAGGGTGTAGGGTTTTGGGTTCAGGGTTTAGGGTGCAGGGTTTGGGGTGTAGGGTTTTGGGTGTAGAGGGTTTTGGGTTTAGGGTTTAGGGTGTAGGGTTTGGGGTGTAGGGTTTTGGGTGGAGGGTTTTGGGTTCAGGGTTTAGGGTGTAGGGTTTTGGGGTGTAGGGTTTTGGGTGTAGGGTTTTGGGTTTAGGGTGTAGGGTTTGGGGTGTAGGGTTTTGAATTAGGGTTTTGGGTTTTTGGGTTTTGGGTTGGGGTTTGGGGTTTTGGGTTTAGGGGTTTTTGGGTTTAG